CGAAGTTTATTATTAATGAAAATGATCTAATCTTTATTAGATATTTTGATAAGTTAAATAAACTAGTCGACATTTCAAAAAACTAATTTGTCAGACTGAAACTTAATTTTTTCAATAAAATAGTGGTGATAATTTACTTAATTTTAATGTAACATCAAAGTCAATACCATTTGCCTGATGTGGATTTTAATCGGTTTCAGTGATATCTACCAATTGATTTCGCCAAGTAATACGTTTTTTGACAAATAACGCTAATCAATATGTATATTGCCAAATATTGAAAATACACACGTTTAAACATGTGAAAACGGAAGGAAGTTCTCTCATAATTATGACTGTATCTACTATCGTTTTTACAAATTAATCATTAAAATGGAAAGTTTGTGAATAATTCAAAAAACTGAATTCCTTTATTACTACTCCTCTTTGAATTAATGAAAGTCCATATTAGTGGAACAAGATTTTTCTTTACTATAACTTCAGTAAATATATCTCACTTTGACAGGCTACTTCTGTAACTATGCGGAGTAAAATTTTAAACGGTGTAAATTTGTTGCCATCAATAAATATAACGATGCCATCAGATGTATATATATATCTGAAGAATCCATAAAGAAGCAAATAGTATCAATTGAATATTAGTGTTACATTTAACTAATGCTTACTGAATTACTTGATACGAACCATGTATTAATTAAAACTTTTTTATCCTTAAAAATTATTCATCCATTTTTTTATCTTATAGGTAGTGGTTAATAGTAAAATCCAGAGTGTACTTTTTTTCCCTATTTAAAACTTGTTGGATGAATGTGTCAACAGCATCTTAATGTTGACTAACACACTAATCTTCGCTTCTAGTATAAAGTGCTAAAGCGTCTAATGCATTAACCACTAAAATATGTTCGGTTTAAGGATTTGCATTTCATTCCTTTTTAGACATTTAGAATTAAATTAATAGGACATTATCTGAAATACAATAGATATGTTAATACAAACACTGTCGAGATATATATTCATTCATCCTTGTAGGCTAGCATAGATCGATGAGATTCGATTCTAAATATTTGCTAAAGGAAACGCTTACAATTTCGACATTTTATATCAAGGCAGACGAGTGATTCACCATAGATTTTAATATCAGATGCATTTAGTGGATTAAAATTAAAGAAAATGTGGTCTAGTAATGGTAAAAATTGAAAACAAACTATATGATTTGTATGGATTAGTTGATAAAGCGTTGGATTCGTAATTTATGAGAACTTTAGTTTAAGTCTGAACGAATTGTTTCGTATTATTTGGGAGCCGAGTTATTGTAACTCATGAAGGAGGAAAATTATGTGTGAAAAATTCCAGCAATTGAATTTCAAAATTCCAAGGTCTCACTCGGCTAATTGGTTCAAACTTTTTTTTCAATGATTTACGGTCAAACACCAAAATTATCGAATGTAAATACATGATTCACTGGTTAAGTTTATACTAGATAGATCGTCCAATCATGTTAATAAAATTAAACGTGAGACTTGTCGTATTGTGTAAGTCATTTAGTGAGGATAAATAAACCAATGAAAGTTTGTGTTATTTTGTTAACCAAGCTGATTTCAACCAAATTAACTGATTAGAACAAGTAAAAAATATTAATGTTGTCAATATAATAACAGAAGCAAAATGTAAAATGAAGTTCAGGTTTGCTTAATAAATTAGTTACCATGGGACGGCTAATGGTATTTCATCTCTCCTATTTATTTTGCTTGTGTGGGTAAATCAAATTGGTAAGAATCCTGAGATATACTAATTCAATTCCACGATTAGCGATTACAGATTTTTATCCAAGGATTATTTTGTGTTGCCTTGTGCTCTGTAATCAAGAGAAAAATGGATTTCTTTCCATGAAATAAAGGAGTCTATGGTTCAACATACAATCGACTAGATTACAGATCGGGTTCAGTACTGTTATATTTCAGTTTATTTGTGAAAAGTAGTCTTTAATATTGACACAAATACTAAGTGAAACCATGACTACTGTTGGGAGGTCATCATCTAATGTTGAAGTCATTGGTGTTGAGATTAAAATGAGTTTAGATTAAAACTCTCTTGTGTCTGTCTAACTCTATAATCTGATGTATTCCAATAACGTGTTTCAAGATCAACTAAAAATGCTTCTGTTTTCCAACATGGGTTTCCTTTAAAAGTTAGTAATAATGTTTATAGATATCACTTATCGACGCTAATTTGGTTATATGTATTCTTAAAGTAAGATCATTATCTCCTAGGTGAGATGGCAATATCTTCACTCAGTTTAGCATATGATGTTAGCTGGTATAAGAGTAGTTTAGAAAACTGCAAGGCACTGCTAAATCTAAGCACGATATCAATCTAATTTGAGTCATGTTGATAAGTGCAGACTACCTAATTAAAGTAATTACGACTGCCGTGACCATTAGTGAAGATGTTGGGTGACGTATGTCACAACCGGCAGCAACTTCTCAGGTGACTTAGATCCAGAATTTTTTAATTATTAGTACATGTTGTTTCTCAAATATTTTTTCATCAATCATATTATCCATGTCTAGTCTCTTTTACTACCTTTGTTACAACAACTAATATGAATGCTCATGGGTCTTCGGTAACGTTCTTGACATTTTCATTTTACTGCACCGATGTGGTGTGACAAAATTAAAGAAGTCTGCTTTCCATAAAGAGACATCATAATTATTGAGTTGAAAGATAGGTAATTAACAAAACTCCTGACAGTAGGTATGCTTTTATATTATTCAGTCATAAGAATTCATTTTGTGAATTGTTTGGTGCATGATAATTGATTAGTTGTTTCACATCATATTAAATGAAAATTATTGGGGCATTTTGTTTACATTAATCATAGAAGCATAATCTATCCGTACTTTTAACATAATTTTTGGAAGATTGGAACAATTTAGTATTTTACTGATGAATCCAGTGTTATAAAATAAAAGGTAATATATTACTGTATGAAATATGTTTTAGTAAAAAGCGAATGATTTGTGAATGTTGAGACAATTCATCATGTTAACCTAATATGACCAATGGACTAATAATCATGAATGAGAAATATAAACGAATCTTAACAAATGTTTTATTACACTGAAATCATGAACCGGTCAATATCAGAATACTATTGAAAACTCTAAACTTACAGCAATCATTTGCTTATTAGAGATCAGTTTCGAGAGGAAATTCTTGGGGTTCTGTAGAGAAGCTTTAACCAGTGGAGTTCAACCGTATCGAGCGTGAGGTAGTTACAACCGAAGACAGTGGAAGATAATCACGCAGTATCGTAGATTGAATGAAGCTGAACATCCGGACCGTTGGATGTAATCTCGGTTGTTTAGAGATTGAGTGATCGTAAGCAAGACCAAAGGTCCTGGGTTCGTGTCCCCCGTTTGAGGTCATGGTTGTGCATTGCCGGGGATTCCATACCAGAAGGACATGGTCGTCCAGTGCCCCCAGGCTTTATACGGTGGTCTAAAATTGATTGCTTTATGGATTTAATGGAACTCGACGATTTCCATAATCCTTTACTTATAATGTTTTATTCCTTGACAAATGTTCACCTGACCTCCAAAACGTTTGCCCATATGGTTAATTGAAATCAGTATATGTGAAATACAAGTTGTGGTTGACATAGACACAGAATGGGAGAGTTTTACATGTCATACTGTTAATCATTTTTTTAAAGCCAACAAACATGTTTATTTGTTAACTAAAACAACATAAGGCTGATTTGACAGTTTTGAATTGACTTACTGCAATGACAACATGTCAAACAAGTACAATTTGGTTCACCTGATCTAAACTAGCAACAAAAAATTTATTTTAAATTATGGCATATAACAAAATAGTACGATAAAGCATTATCTTGAACAATGTCAGTAGTGGAACTAGACAACCTGAAGGTGGAAAACTGACTAATTAGTTTAAACCGAGACAATTTTTTCTACGTGAATACAAAATCTAGTAGATTTCAAAAAATACTGACAGAAACCTATGGAAGTGCACTACAAAAGTCAGAAAATAATTTCGAAATACTGCACAAGAATATTTTTGTGCCCCAGCCTATATTTATTCGATAACACCGATGGTGCTACACAACTACCTAAACCAATAAACTGTAATGCTCCAGGTAAGAAACGATAGCTCTTGTATAGTTACACGTCTCTAAGTTTTCTTATCAATTAAACAATGTGAAATTCATAACAGACCTTATTACATTAAATTACTGAGCATCGTGAAGTTAGAAAAAACAAGACAGTATCTACATGTTTACACTCAGCTCAAACAAACGTGGAGCGTTATCTTGATGCCTGACATATTGAAACATGTATGTTTATATTGAAACAACCTAACCAATAATTTATCAGCCTTCTTTCTACTCAATAAGAGAATGTTACTTCCTATCATGCACACCAAGTGTGAGACTTGAGGAATGAATAAAATATGTTTAAGAGGTCTTAGAATCAGTATGATCAAAATTGAACTAGTTTTCAAAAAAGAAATTAATATTGAAGAATATAATGCTGTTTTATTTCAGTCAATGTGTGGTACTTCATCATTATAAATTTCTAGCGTTTAGATTAAGAGATGAAAGCCTATCAGCAAATCACTATGTTTTATATGGCATGTGGATTAAATTCTGTAACATCCTGTCACTCTTCTGTTTTTGTTCTTTTGAGTTGATGAATCAGGCAATCGGAATAAAAAAAAAACAATACGTCTCCAGAAATAGTGGTGACTGTATGAGTCATCATAAGAAAGCTAGTGTATATATATATATATATATAAATAGGTAACACACGTAATGGATATAGACTATCATTGAACAAAGGTATATTGATAACACTTTTTGTTGATAGCTAATGTTGAGTCATGTCATTAAATTTGGAGAATACCAAGTTTTCGTGATTTCTATCTTAGCCAACGTATATTTCATACATTAACAATCTTTTTTATTGATTCTCTTACAGGTTAATGGTATTTCGGCCATTGATCTCAATCATGAAGATGTCGTTGAGCAGATTCGCTGTAAGTGTTTACATGATTATCACTAAAATAATGTGAAAAACACTCTAATTTAGATTAGTCATTCATCTAATTGTTTAACTTTATTAATAATTCATTATATTTCTCTTAGCACGAAACCAAGTCTCTTTAAGACTCAAGAGATTACGTTATCAAGTGGTTGATGGCTTAACTGGATATCGAGTAGGCTCTATGAGAAATTTAACCTGTAATGAAGCTCCAATTTTGAGATCACAACAACGTCATCATTACCAAAAACGTCGATCAGTTCGAGAGTCTTCATCAACAGGAAATACAGCGTCTGCCGTAGTTAAACGAAGACCTCGTCTTGGAACGCAGACATTCAAAATAGCTCGAAGTTGTTCACCCCCTCCATTAGCGTCAGTCGGTTCAATGAATGATTCATTAGGTTCACATACAGATGAAGATATTGATTGGAGAAAAGAAGACGAGGTAAAGCTATTGACTTGATTGATTTAAACTATTTTGTTATGATCAATTCAATATTTTTATTGATATTTAAAAGAATAATGTATATTGTGTTCGGCCAATTAGTTCATGAATTCCCATGTTGGGTTTACGCATAATTTGTTTGCATACATCCAAGATCAGTATACATTGTAAAGCAACATGAATGACAGATCACTTAACTAGTGTATTTATAAAAACCAGAATTTCTTTTCATTTTTGAGGCAAATAGCAGGTTGATATTTTTTTAGTATCTACATCACGCAAAATATGTACATGAACCATTATAGAGTTACTAAGTTGGGATTACTGCTTAATATAGTTTCACTGTATGGTATTTTCTTTTATAAAACAGCTTTTTAAATAGAAATTCTCGAAGTCTATAAGTTCAAGTATTTCGTTTTTGTTTATCTAATTAATACTAACTAACTAAATTACAAATTCATAAGTCGAACTGAAAAAAGAACATATGCAAGAAATTTCAATACATTTTATTTACTACCGCGTATTTAATAACAATTCTAATAGTTATTTTTATTTCTATTGTAAATACTCAGTGGAGAAGTTGGAAATATAACAATTCAATTCATTTGTTCTCTTTCAATTAATCCTTAATAATCTACAAAGAGATTTACTGTGCCAATCATTGTTAATGTTTTTTTTAATAGTTTTGACATACAGGAGATTTTTGGCATTTACTTTGGAAAGTAATTAAACTTGAGAAATACAATAGGCTAGCAATATTAGGGAGATTGAGTAATGAGTTCTCCTTGGATAATTCAGTGTTTTAGGAAGTTTGGTTTCCTTTTTAATTAGAAAAGAAACTTATGATTTATTATCATTATTATTATTATTGATACTATTATTATTGTTATTGTTTTTAGCCGTATAATCCAAAACGTGTAATCGAAGTCAAGAATAACCAATTAGCAAGGTTTATATTTCATAGTTTCAATTTTAGCATTACTTAGACTCAAATCCACAACAAAAATTCCATTTCAAAGCTGTGAAAGTTGTTGATTGAGTGTGGTTCCATGTCATTATTCATTCAATGTCATCTTCTGACGGCTTAACGTTCGAAGTTTGTACTCATTAACCACAGAAAATATACCCTCTTTGAAAGAGAAGTTAATTAAAGTACTGTATGGGTTTGTTATATTAGTTCCAGATTTCTCAACAATCTACAATTATGATATTACGTGACGATTAACCATGAAACCTAATTTCTTGTGATGAGCACGTTGTTATTGAGCCGCTGGCTGAGAATCGAATGATACATATATTTAGACTGTAGTCAACTTGGAATATAGTGCGATTCCCACACACTGTCACTAATAAATAACTGCCGTGATCTATGGAACCACTTATTGGAATACTAATCAAGATCGAGAAATTTTCATGAGAAGTCGTTACATGTGAAGTAAAACAAGTCATGGAAATGTATTTTATTGGATTACGATCAGAGGATTAAGAACGATAACTGACATAGTAATTAGTGATGGATTAGCTGAAGTTCATTTTGATCTCTACTTTTCTTTGCCACAATTAGGTTTCTTGAAGAAAATATCTTCTAACTCATTAAAATACTTTTTACCTTGTCTGACACATAGTTTGTGGGGCAAGTTCCTTTTACCTAATTCTATCACTTTAAGAGATTAAAATCTTCGGACTTATAATACAAACATCATGAAGTCAGTGTGAAAGGTATACGTTTTCAGATGAGTACTCTAAAACTATCAAAGGTGACGACTGTAAATATAGCAAATCAGAAAATTCATCAATTACTTAAAGTTCTGATGCTTTCATTTCTGCTAGCTACAGATTGGAGCCGATAATGAAACTGACACGAGCCATACTTCAGAGACTAGTGCCTTAGTTCACGAAACATTTCCAAAAATAGATTTGGCGAATGACAACACTTATCTACAATCTGACCTTGTAAACGTGCCAACCAATGAAGGTATAGAAACAAGTAAGAATTTAGCCAGTAAAAACTGAATTCTTTAACCTTGAAATATGAGTGGTCGTAAAATATTGGCCGCTCAGTTCAAAAAATTGTCTGAATGTAATTACTTGGATAATTGCAGGAGGTTAATTTTGAGTCTCTCTAGGTAGATATAAGTGCGTGGATTTATATGCCGTTTGGGATATTTATTATTTACATAAAAAATTATCAACCTGGTTGGTATAACCAAGCTAACGCGGTCAAATCGCCGCAAAACTGTGAGTTTTGGTATCGAGTACTTGTATATCATTCAAGTTATTTTCTCGTTGTATAGAAATTCTCTTATATGCATAGAGTTTGTGTTGATGCCGGCAATTTTATGGAATACCCGTTGCCTATCTGTTTGGATGCTCCCCTATAGGTGCGGTGCAGTTAGACGAAAATCCTGCACGGTGCTTCACTTTTAATCTAGTCTGGTTTGTAACCTTACGTTTGGTTTCACATTATACGTACTTGCCTCCGTTTTTAATTCTTTTTGATCCTGCTTAATATACTAGACTACACGTGTAGTTCATATGACTACGTTCAATTAGCCCAACCCCATGTTTTGCTTTACATACTGAATTACTAACTAGAATTCTCTTACTAACAGCCTAATTTAACGGATTTTACATGCTCAATGCCTTTTCTATATAACTTCAAACCGTTATAAACTGCTAATCATTATCTTTATGGAACTATCTGTTAGTATTATTAATTAAAGCTGTGTGTTGACTTAGAGTACTGTTCGTCAGTATCATCGTCACTGTCATTCGATTTTTATCTAATAGTGCGTGAGTGCATCATCAAGTAAGCTTATAAGTCAATATTACAGCTACACTCTGTCAATTTTATCAGTCTAATTGTTGTGGTCAAATCCCGAAATACACCTGGTTCTGTGAACTACGCTATGCAAACTAAATAATTGTATCAGTTGTTACGGCTTAAAAATGTCGGTAATATAGGTAACTAAGCACCACATTCAGCTCAGCACAACAATATTTGTTAAATGGTTTTGTCTTATGGCTGGATACAAATTTTTACTTGTTTCGCGTCTGGAAAACAGTAAACTTTTCATATAGGTGGTAGTAACTCGTACTACCAAAATGTTTGTAGTTGATATTACATTTGCTAAAAACGAGTATCTAGATATTTCAGCAAGTCTAACTGTGCTTAGCACTCCCCTCCTGTGGAAATCATATTTTTCAATTCTTTACTTGTTTTGCGTATGCCAAAACTATACAGCGGATGTAGTTTTTATAGGTTTTCAATATTTATCTGTTTATATTTTGTATCCTCCAAACTATAAGGAAGGCTGTCCAAATATGTTCTCTAGTAACCAAAATTTTCACATTTCAGGGTTTCATTAATTTTAACTACTGATCATGTGAAGACTCGCGACCGTTGTTGCTACCTTGCTATGCTGATGAAGTGTGGAAACTTGGACCGATGCACATATGTGCCTGGTTCGACGTTGTAACTGACTGACTAACTGACATGTGTAGACTTCTTTATGTACCTTCAACTTAGTACCAGTTCAATAGACAGTAAAAATATTATGAACACTACAGAGACAGTGAAATCTAATCTGTTGGTAACAGCACTTTTATTCGACACACTAATATAATACATTAAAGAGTTAACCTGGGGGTGAGGGAGGGTAACGAAATAATAAACGAGGCATAAATAGGCGGTGTATAATTAAGCATAGTTGGAGTTAATTCATAGGAACCTCTGAAAATAGGTTTCGTGCTTGTTAGTCCTCATCAACAAGACATATAATCAACTGATAGAATTACCCCTACTTCAAAGACTCAAATCATTGATAGCTATATATTGGTAGAGTGAGTTACTACTGAGGATAATATGAAACTGATTACTATCCATTGACCTGTTTCTTTCAGTATAATAAGTTGATTACGTAAATCACGTAGGAAGCTGTAAGTTTGAAAGACATTAAAAGTCAGCCAGTCACGTACATGGAATTCGGCACAAATGTATATCAGTCTAAGTTGCCACGTTTAATATCATCACAACAACATATAAGTAACAAGATTAAAGGCAACTAAATAGAAACTACGGTAGAGTATGGTTGCTGTTTAAAACCAAATAAAGAATGTATATAAAAGATTACGAATTAAGTCAAGGAGAAGAATGTCTAATAAATTCAAGATAAAATAAAGTAAATATAGATCCATGTCACTGCTGCCATACCACTTAAGGCCTTCGTTCGTAAATTATCTTGTGGGGCACCACCAGGAAGTCTACAATTAATATAGCCTAGGTCGAGAGTTCATCATTTCAGGGACTGGTATGTCAGTCTCCAGTGTTCGTTTAAACTAGCGTGTTGGGAGTAGTTGATGAGTGATGAGTGACTCAACTACTTACAACCTATGCATACCATTTATTTATTTAAACCCATAAACATTGATAAAAGGAGACACCAGATGTACATGCACCACACTGTCATTCGATTTATTTGAGGGCTGGTGTAATGCCCGAGCGTCTAAACTGAAGCAGGTGGTTTTCTTTTGAGGTCACTCGCTAAGCCTTTGATATAGAGGTCTGATCTACATGGCGGTGGAGCAGCCTTAGAAGATGAAGTCCCATAGTTGCCACTAACCAACAAAAGGTTTATACGCCTCTTTTTCCCTTAGGATCCTGGAGCCCATATGTACCAATGGTTTGGAATCAGGGTTTTCCAACTACCCTGGTTAGACTCTCTGTGTTCACCAACTCAGTTAAAGCTCCAGACATTCGCTTTTCGTCCTCTGAATTTCGTAAACAGCATCGCTACCACGAGAAGGCAGTGAGTAAAACTTCCCTGAGAGTGACTGTATACGCGTGACCATGTGAGAGCGTTACAAGAGGGAGCTCTGATTCTCCCCTCCCCCGACCGTACCAGAGCATTTGATAGCTTTTATACTATGTTCCATAGTCATATATTAGTATGAAGCAATGTCCCACACTGAATAATTACTGTTTACTTAGCTAACAGACA